GACCCTGCTCTCCCCTGCACAACCATTCCTGTTAGAGACATACTCTGCCAAACCAAGCAGATCCGCTGAGACCCATGCAGTATAGAGACAATTCTAGGCTCTTTGTCCCAGCCTCAGAGAAGTCTTACCTAACTAAATCAGAAGCACAAAAACAGAATGTTTAAAACCCAGATCCCAGAAACAAATATTATAAAATGTTACTTATTAGGAAAACACCAAAATTAAAAACTTAAATGCAAATTAGCATATTTGTTGAGCAGCATACATTATGTTCCTAAAGTAAGGCATAATCCTTCACTTGTTATTCTTTACATTTTCTCGGAGTTAGGTGGCCAAGAAAATTAAGACAAAGAAGTTTAATAACTTTTATGGTATGAATCTGTAATAACTCTCTTCCCACTTCAACTTACATCAAAGTAATGCATTCAACAGCCTAATGATTAAAATATAGATATAGATTTTAAGCAGTAATGGAATTAATGTTAGTAATAGCTTTTTTTATTTTGAATTATTTGATTAGATTCATGAATTTAATATTACATTAAAATTTATAGATATGTTTGAAGTAGTAATTCATAAGACTTTAATTATATAGATAACTCACTTTGCATATTCTATTTTGCCTCATGATCTTAAAATATAGATTATTTTAAGATGTAAAGTACTTTTCAAACATCTCAAAAGCTTGCAGATTGTTGGCATAAAATATTTTTTATGCTAATAGGGGTTGCTTTTCATATTATTTCATTAATGTTAATCTCACCTCAATATTAGGTTAAACTTGGTAAAGAGTTAAGGTCTTACCCCTGTCTTGGAGCATTTCTTCTCAGATAATGTCCTATGACACAAACAGTTTTCATCTGCTAAAGGGTGTCACATTAATCTGGACCAAAAATCTGGGCATGAAGTTTTCAACATACACAGAACTTTTTCGCCCCTTTGTTTTAGATTCTTCCTAAGCTTTCCCCAGTAACATTGATTGAACATTTGTCTTTCTATAATAACAGATGTGAAGTCATGATACCAATAATGTTTTCTGACTAGCATTTTCAGTCCACCTATTCTGTTGATATTTTCATATCATTAAATAATCTTCAATAACATCCTTTTTAGTGACTATAAATTATTTCATTATGTTGGTGGACTATAATTTATTTACTCAATCTCCTCTTACTGATTTTTGTCTTTTATGTTCATACAGCTAAAATTTTGCATACATCCACAATCATTTCATTAAGATAAATTCCTATAAGTAGAATGGTTATGTTAAAAAAAATATAAAATCTTGACACTGCCTTAACAAAAGGCATGTTACATGACCACACAGTTTATGTGTAGAGTATCCATGTCCCTAAACCTCCAGTGACAGTTTATTTTTATTAGTAGTAAAACATCTTTGTCAATATGGTAAGAAAATGTTTTTAGTATCTCATAGTTTTACTGTACAGACTTATTGGTGACCATTGAGGCTGCATAGTGTTTTATGCACTTCTACTTATCTGAACAGAGAGATGTGGGAGGGGCATTTGCTAAAGGTCTATAAGTAGCACTGCACAGAGGACCCAAATTCCATCAGCTTGAATGTGCCTAGACCCCTTATTCTAGCTACACGTTAGTGACACTAAAATTGTAGAAATATAATATGTATTCAATTTAATGAAGGGAGAGACCCGTCAAAACTCAGATCAAATTTTCTTTTAAAATAAAGAATATCAATAATTTAGAGGAAAACTGTGAAACTAATTATCACAAGTAGATGCAACTGGTTGACATGATTTCATTTTCTCTGCAAGATATGTTTGAAATATAAATCTGGTTGAAACTGTGTGTGTGTTTTTTTCAATAAAGTACACATTTAGAATGTATTTAATCTTTTCAGTGCTGGTGCATTTACATTCCTTTTAAAAGTAGTTCAATTCAGCCGGACGTGGTGGTTCACGCCTGTAATCCTAGCACTCTGGGAGGCCAAGGCAGGCGGATTGCTCAAGGTCAGGAGTTCAAAACCAGCCTGAGCAAGAGAGAGACTCTGTCTCTACTAAAAAAATAGAAAGAAATTAATTGACCAACTAAAAATATATATAGAAAAAATTAATCGGGGATGGAGGCACGTGCCTGTAGTCCCAGCTACGTGGGAGGCTGAGGCAGAAGGATTGTTTGAGCCCAGGAGTGTGAGGTTGCTGTGAGCTAGGCTGATGCCAAGGCACTCTAGCCCAGGGAACAGAGCGAGACTCTGTCTCAAAAAAAAAAAAAAAAAAAAATCAAAATATGACTTGAATTGAAAAAAAATTTTTTCTATGATTTTCAGATACATATTATATGATAATTTATGTAATTATGAGATGTTCCTTGAAATGGGTTTGTTAAATCAAAAGACTTAAGATGTTGCATGTAGGAAAGTAACCATATTTTGATAGGGTTATCCATTGCTGTGTAACAAATTATCCTGATATCTAGCAGCTTAAAACAACAAATATTTGTTATCTCACATATTTTCTAAGGATCAGGAAACCAGAAGCAGCTTAGCTGGGAGGTTCTGGCTCAGGGAATCTCATGAATGTGCAGTCAAGCTGTTGACTACAGCAGTAGTCCCTGAAGACTTGACTGGAACTTAAGGATCTGCTGTGCAGAAGCTTTTTAGCATGATGTAATCCTGTTGGTGTTTTTGCTTTTTTGCCTCTGCTTTTAAGGTGTTAAGAAAACTCTTTGTCCATACCAATGTCCTGTAGTGGTTCCCCAGTGTTTTATTTTAGTAGTTTCAGACTTTCAGGTCTTACATTTAAATCTTTAAACCATTTTGAGTTGATTTTCATGTGTGATGAAAGATGAGGATCTAGGTTCATTCTTCTGCATAATGATACCCAATTTTTCCAGCACCATGTATTAGAGAGACTATCTTTTCCCCAGTATATGTTCCTGGCATCTTTGTCAAAAATGAGTTGGCTGTTCATGAATGGATTTAATTCTAGGTTCCCCCATTCTGTTCCATTGATCTATGTGACTCTTTTAATGCCAGTGAAATGCTGTTTTAGTTACTATTGCTTTGTAGTATAATTTCAAATTAGGTAGTCTGATACCTCCAGCTTTGTTCTTTTCACTTGGGATTGCTTTAGCTACTTAGGATATTGTATAGTTCCATATGAATTTGAGCATTTTTTTTTCTATCTCTGTGAAGAATGGCATTGGTATTTTGATAGGAATTTCATTGAATCTGGATCACTTTGGGTTGTATAGAGATTTTTGGCAAATATTAAAGAAAGAAAGAAATTAATTGGACAACTAAATATATATTAAAAAATGTAGCCAGCATTGTGGTCCATGCCTGTAGTCCCAGCTACTTGGGAGGCTGAGGCAGAAGGATTGCTTGAGCCCAGGAGTTTGAGGTTGCTGTAAGCTAGGCTGATGCCATGGCACTCTAGCCCGGGCAACAGAGTGAGACTCTGTCTCAAAAAAATAAAATAAAATAAAATAAAATAAAAGCTGCCTATAAGAAACTTGCTTACAAAGACATCCATATACTGAAAGTGAAGAGATGGAGAAAGATACTCCTTGCAAATAGAAACCAATGAAGAGCAGGAGTAGCTATACTTATATCAGACAGAATAGGCTTTAATACAAAAACTGTAAGAAGAAACAAAGAAGGTCATTATATACTAACAAAAGAGTCAATTCAGCAAGAGATATAATAACAGTAAATATGTATGAAGGATCTACTTCTAAGCTCTCTCTTACATGAGTGTTACTAGATATTTGTTCTTTACCACATGAGTCTCTCTCCTTTGGGCTGCTCAGAATAGACATGAATTCTCCTAGAGTGAGTGATCCAGGAAAGAGTCTTGAGAAAGAAAGGAGGAACAAGGAAGGATGCAAGGGAGGCAGAAGAAGAGGAAGACCCCAAGATGGAAGTATAATACTGTTTTATAACATAATCTAAAAAGTCTTATGCCATGACTTTTACCATACTCTCTTGACCTCACAGATCAGTCCTACTGTAATGCAGAAAGGAACTATATGGAGTATATATATACCAGGAAAGTCAGGGATTTAAAGTAAATAGTATTACTTTAAGTAAAAATTTATCATAATTAAGTAGCATAAAATAAATGATATCTACATTAAGTATATCAAAACTGTCAAATTCTTTTAACTTTCAGTAGCCCTATTTTAACACTCTGAATATCATAATCATCAAATGACTTTTAAATGTATTTTAAAAGAATTCTCTAATTCATTTAAAAATACTTCTCATCTTCAGTGTTTATTTTTGGTGAAGATTTAAATAAAATGTTTCTGATAATTTTAAATGAAATTAAAAACTATAGTATATAATCATTTTAAAGAAATGTATAATGATTTTCTTATATATTAATCCTCTTTCCTATAAGTCCTTATCTTAAATAACAGTAATAGATTAATAACAAACTTTTATCCCTGAACAGTAAAATTTTTTATCCTGCTGTATTTTTTATTTTTGTGGTGTTAGCATTGATTCTTTTGCCCCAGAAGTTTAAAATAAAAATTACTTCAATGGTCATTTCATTCTCTTGGGACCTAAGTAGGATTGATGTCATGCCATGGGTACAAAGCATTCTGTAATGACTTACTTATTTACTTATTTATGAGCGAGACAGGATCTTGTCAACCAGGCTGGAGTAATGACATCATCTTAGCTCACAGCAACCTCAAACACCTGAGCTCAAGTGATCCCCTTGCCTCAACCTCCCCAGTAGCTAGGACTGCAGGTGTGTGCCACAAAGCCTGGCTAATTTTTTTAATTTTTTGTAGAGATGGGGTCTTGCTATGTCTTTCTCAGACTGGTCTTGAACTCCTGGCCTCCCTAATCCTCCCACTTCGGCCTCCTAAAGTGCAAGGATTACAAGCATAAATCCCCTTGTCCAGCCTGTAATAACTGTAATATAGCCAACTTTGTTATAGCATTTCTTTTTATTTTCTTAAAATAACAGAGGCATAACTAAATGGGTAACTTCATCTTATTGTTCTAGGTCTCCTAAAAACCCAGAACAGAAGATTATTAAGAGAGTGATTGCCCTTGAAGGGGATATTGTAAGGTAAGTACTTAAGTTGTTGTTTCTGAGTTCAAGTTTTAAACATCTGGATTGTTGTTTGGTTTTAACTCACATTACTTGGGAACTGCATTTCAGTTCACAGGGCCAAAGCTTCAGAGACATCCTAGATGAGCTGATACATCTTTAGTGAGCTTCATCAACCATTTCAGAATGTAAAGTTTAAATAAGCTTATAATAAATAAACTGATCAAATTTTCATTCTTTAATTGTGAGGCATAGGAGAAATATTAATTACACTATAATAAAATTAACCACATACTCTAAAATGGTCATTAAATCATTGTTTTTCAGATATTAAAATTAGTACAGTTATTTTAAGATTGTGATGTCAAGATTCATTTTAGAAAAATTCAAGAACATTTTATTAGAAGCTAACGCAGAAACTAAGAGTAATCTTTTATAATCATAGAGATGGGGAAAATTGCAAAGGATATGAAACAGAAACTTCTGAATCAGTGACAGGAATGGAAGCTTTAGATAATAACATTGTAACAATCAGATATTTAAACATCATGTAATAATATCTTATTTATTCTGATTGCTGATAAATGTTTGAGATTCAGCAAGTAAATATTTATGTGACATGACATGTCTAAATTTGATTGCTTTATTTAAATAAGGTGTAGCCAGATCTATACAATATGGTAGCTAAAATGCTTTAAAAACTACATTCGAGAAGTTTTATTATCCTGTTTTCTCAAAACACTTAATCCTAAGGTTTGTGTATTAATGATCGTACATAAGCAATCTCAACAAAATAAACCTCAGTTGGTTTTACAGCAAAATCTAGGCCCACAGTTCTCAAAAGATGGCCCGAGGATCCTGGGGTATTTCCAAGGCCCTTTTAGGGGGTCTTTGAGATCAAAACTACTTTCCTAATAATCCTAAGGCATTGTTTGCCTTTTTTACTTTGATTCTCTTGTGTGTGCACAGTGGACCTTTCCAGATGTGTGATATTGCAATAGATTGAATGTAAGAGCTGTTTTTCATTTAGCTAGACGCTAACAGTATTTGAAAAATCTGAAGAATTCCATTCTCCTCACTATTTTTCCTTTGTTTTGAAAAAGAACAATTTTTATTAAAATATATTTGTTAACATGAGCTTATTGTTATTTGAATTGAATCAATACATAAAGATTTTTAGAAATTCTTTATTTTAATATCTAAGGTGGTAAGTACTAGTATGCACATAAGCAAATGTCTTTGGGATCTTCAATTATTTTTAAAAGTATAAATGAGTTTTGAGACCAAACATTTTGGGAACTTGTTGATATAGGAGTCTATGGCACAAATTTTCAGGTGAGGATTAACTGCTCATTAGTAGCCTGCATGATATTAATGAAGCTATTGTATTGAGGTGTGGTTTGTATGATTTATCTTCATGGATATTTGGTCCTTTTTTCCTTTTAAAAGATTTTTTGAGGTATAATTTCTATATGATACTATTCTCCCATCTTAAATATACAGTTCAAAGAATTTTAGTATACATTTATACAGTTGCACATCCCTCACCACAGTCTAGTTTTTAAACACTTCTGTTACCACTGCAAGTTCTTTCCTGTCTATTTGCACTTAACTTCAGCTTCCACTCCTGGTAACAGGCAACCACAGATCTATTTTCTGTGTCTATAGTTTAGCCTTTTCTAGAAATTTTATTTAAGTGGAATTATATAATACATATTCCTTTATGTTTGTTTGTTTGTTTTTAACATAGAAGAATGTTCTGTATGTTTCTCTGTGCTGTGCATGTTATCTATAGTTCATTTTTATTTCTGAGTATAATGCATTGTATGGACCTTCCAGATTTTGTTGATCCATTCACAAGTTGATACACAGGATTGTTTTCAGTTTGGGGATATTATGAGTAATACAATAGGTGTTTGTGTAAATACTATGAACATTTGTGTCTTTTGGTGGAAATATGTTCTCATTTCTTTTGGGTTTACAGTCAGCTTCCCGTTATCTGTGGGTTGAGCCTGGATTCAACTGTGTATTGAAATTATTTAGAAGGAAAAAAAAAAAGGATGGTTGTGTCCGTACTGAACATGTACAGACATTTTTGTTACTCCCTAAACAACACAGTATAATAACTATTTATATAGCATTTACATTGCATTAGGTATTACAAGTAATGCTGAGTGTTATGGTAAGTATGTGTTTAACTTTTTAAGAAACTGCCAAACAATTCAAGAAAGTGGCTATACCATTTTATGTTCCACCAACAATATATAAGAGTTGAAGTTTCTGTGCATCCTTGCCAGCACATGGCATTGTGAGTATTCTGCATTATGGCCATGCTAGTCAGTGAGAAGTAGAATCTCATGGTTTTGATTTGTGTTTCTCTGAAGACTAATGATATTGAACATTTGTCCGTGTGCATGCTTGCCATTCATATATCTTCTCAGGTAAACTGTTTGTTCAAATCATTTGCCCACCTTTGTATTGGGCTGTTTTTATTTTGAGTCTTAAAGTGTTCTTTGATTTTGATTAGTTTAATAGAGTAAGCATTTTAGGAAGGTGTGTGTATAATGCTGTGATTTAAGTCAGGAGTAAGTGTATAAGTGTAAAAGGGTTCAATTACTGTTTCTTATAAAATATGCATTCTAAATTTAAAGAACTTGGTGACTTTTTTTTTACTTTTGGAAGAGCCTATCCAGCCTTCTGATTTCTGTAGGAAACTAGGAAGAGCAGTAAATTCAGAAAAACATTTGATATGCATCCATAAATATGTAAAATACACTTTTTACAATTGGAAAATAATATCATGCAAATCCCATTCAAAGAAGAGTTAGCAAACCTTGAAAACATCACACTAAGTGAAAGAAGCCATTTGCAAAAGATAACATATTATATGATTCCATCCATATGTAATATCCAGAATATGCAAATTTATAGAGACAGAAATAGATTAGCAGTTCCCAGAGGCCTGGAATATGGGGGGTAGGAGTTACTGCTAATGAATACAGGGGTTTTAGGATTTTGTTATACTTCCTGTGGGTTTGGGAGTATTTTTATTTTGAATTATACATAACTAGAAGTTAGGGAAGGACCCATAATCTTTTCAGAGGTTAAGCCTGTTAAAGGCTTAATCCAGTCTTCTATTTAATGTTCTGTTAGTCACTTCTCCTTCAGGTTGTAGAAACCAGATATGTAGAAAAATACAGCTCCAGAGTACTTATTTTAAAGATACCCAGGGAAGTAAGGGGGATAGGCCAAGCCGCAGCGTAGCCTTGCTGAGGAGGTGGTGCAGCAGGACTTTCAGTCTCTGTCACTTGCGCCCTCTGTCTACTGGCACTTTGTGTTTGCCTGTCTCCTCTTTCAACTGCTGACTTGCTCTCCTTAGTAGTTGCCTTGACATTACCCTCTGGAGAAGGTAAGATAAACTTTTTGTTTGTTGTTTTGGTTTTTAGTTTTTAATTACGGAAATAACACAAACTTCTAAAATTCAAAATGAAATAACGAACATCCTTGCACACATAACTTTTTACATATGTGTGATTTTATAGAATAGATAGCTGGAAGTGAAAATATTAGGTTGAAGTATGTTGTTGTTATTAATTATGATTGTTGTTATTTTTCAGTTCTAATATATATTGCCAAATTTTTCTGCCAAGATGTTTATGTATATTTATACTCTTATCAACAAAGCATGACATTACCTTTTTCAGAGATAATTTTTTCAAAGGTCATGTGCAATGGGGAAGTTACAGACTTAAGATTCAGAAGTTAAAACATTTTAACACAAATTTTAAAATTAGTTTTAGATGATCGGGTTATATTTATCAAGTCCGTGAACTAACCACGTAGACCTTAGTACCGTCCATTTAATGAGCAGTAGACTTGATACTGGAGAGACATAATGAACAAGAGAGACAAAGTTCCTGCCCTCATAATGCTTACATTCTTGTGGATGTAAGTAGACAATAAACAGATGTTTATATATAACACATGTCACAATGCCATGGGTGAGAAATGCTATGAAAAAAATAAAGTAGGAAAAGATGTATAGAGAGATGGTGAGGGCCTGGGGCTGCTATTTCAGGTAGGGTATTCATTGACAACTTCTGTAATACAAAGATATTTGATCAGGCTCAAGGGAGGGAGGGAGAGAGCCATACTGGTATCTGAGGGAAGGGCCATTCAAATCAAAGGAATAACAAATGCTAACCTCTCAGGATAGGTACTAGGGAAGTTCAAGGAATTGCAAGAAGCAAGCATGGTTAGACCTTATTGAAGGACGCAAATTGAAGGAGGTAAGAGATTAGATCTAAGGAGTTTGCAGAGCCTTGTGGGTCAAAATAAGGACTTTGGATTATTTTAGTAGGATGGCAAGCCAATAGAGGCTTTAGAGCGACTGGAGCGACATGATTTGATTGGCATTTTTAAAGGATCGCTCTTTCTGTGCTGCTTGGAGAATAGACTGAAGAGGGGTAATCTGAGTCAAATAACTGGTATTTTAATTTTTCTCTTGAGAAAATTATATTTAAGTTCTTGTAAAAAAGTTAAGTATTCTTGTTTATGACATGCATGATGACTACTTTGATTTGTTATTTTCAGTGACTCAGATAAAAGTAGTCACGTTATTTATAAGCACAGTCACATAATTACATTGACAAGGTAAAAAGTAGAGTTGATGTATTTTTTTCAGAGAATTGAGCCAAATATTCCTAAGATTGTAAAAGATGAGACTTTTAGAGGTCTGAACTTTCTACCTCGATGTCAGCATTGATTAAATCACAAGGCAATTGCTTGATTCTCAGGATCTCATAGCTAGCAATGTACTTACTTTCATAATGTTGATCCAAATGGGTATGCTTATCTATAACATTGAACTTTAAAAAGCTAATGATAGTGATATTTAGATATACTCATTAGTTCCACCAAAATGTTTTTCTAGTTATTTGCTTTTTCATATTAATTTGTTATGATTCATATAGAAGCATTGTTTCAGAAAAACATAAAATGGATATAAAGCACTAAAC